ATTGTAAGTTAAATTAAGTAAACTGATTTGATATATCCACGAAATTGTTACAGTTGTCACACTGTACAGATATTGCATAACTGAGGCGTATGCTCAACGTTTCAAGATTCCCTATAAACTATTTTAAATAAAATTTGTAGGTATTTGTGCTGAGATTATCTAAATATAATTCTTCAGAACCAGTTTTCACATTCTACTTTAGATAATACTGCAGATTCTTTCAGTTGAGATGTGACTACTGGAACCAATGACACAAACTGTTACTGTACACTGGACTAAAAATTTATTTTATTATTCTATGTTGTGATCTAAAGACTTTAACATATGGATAAAATAAACCATTCACAAATTTGGTATGTTTCAAATTAAATCCAACTTTGATAAATGTGATTGTTTTGTGGCAAGACTGACTGGTATCAACGGTAAACTTTGCACAGATATGCAGCAGTTCGAGTTGACACACCCCATGTAGCATACAAGGCAGGAGAAGGGAGTAAAGAGAGATTCAAACAGAGATAATAAACAGAGATATGAGGCAATAGGAATAGTAATATGGAAGAACAATAGAACTTTATTGGATACTGTAAATCATAAAAAGTGAATGCATCTGCATTGAGAAGATTTGAGCCATATCACCGATTGTCTCCACCGATTGGCTTTTGCCATCCTGAAGACACTAACTAGGAAGCCAGTCTACACCTCCCTAAGTCACTGGCTGGCTTAAACTAACTGTTGTGGATTTATTCATTGACTGATGAAGCCATGTTTTGGTTTGACCACCGCTGGCTCAACCTGATCCTATATCAGCTAACATTTCCCGTAAAGGAAGGCTATGGCTAGACATGTGTATCGTATGTCCTAAACATCTCAATCTGTGTAACGTCATATCCTTGTCGATTGATTTCCCCTCGTTACCTAGCCCTAGACGCCTAACCTCAATATTACTCAACCCACTATACCACTTCACACGGGAGGTAGAAAGCAGACACCTATGATCAAAGACAGCTAGCTAGCCTTTCCATGTCTTCCACTTTCAATGGCCATGTCTCACTCACAGCCATAAAGGAGGACGGAGCAAACTGATGAACAGTGCATACGCCCTTTGGTTAACAGCCAGATGTCACGTTTACGCTAGAGATGGAATAAGTTGGTGGGCATATGCCAAACAAGCCTTCTGTATCCGTGCTGAGATTTCGTCAGCGATCAACCCGTGACAAGAGCAGTCTTGATTAGTATTTCTAAAAAATATTTATATTATGATTTTGTTAGTAGTACACTAGACAAGTTTTAGCGTGTATTAAGTGAATGAAAAAGTTTTCTTTAAAGTGGTGCACTGAAATTAGATGAAGAATAACAGTAGAACCGCACCATCAGACCTTAAACATGGGAGTCATTCAAAGTGACTAGACAGTTAGGAAGGGCGTTCACCTTAATGACTTAATTGTTTGGTTTAGTGGTATAGTCTGAAGTGCTTAGGACTGCACTATTGGGTGTCTGAATAACAGTACCTATAACCTTACTGTATATGTATTATCATTGCTACTGTGACGAAGGCAGTTTGTGTAATTGAATGAACTTAGCGTTTTTCATAATTCTAAATGTGAAGTCAAACTTAATATTATCGTACACATTAGCAGACATTCTTCTGCAAATAATCCAGTGTAATTCAATTTTCTTTAAATCGTGGAAAATACCCATCGGGACATTAGATGGAAAAGAACAAGAAGTTCAGCAAAGACAACTATCTTTTCGCCGATTTCATTCTCAAAAGCTGTACAATCACATTTATATACATAAGTTTACATAGATACAACTATTATTTATTTAATTCCACATAGTAACGTGGGAGATTAAGGGTCATAATAATTATCAACGTGATATGAAATTTGAAGGTGCAAATACAGATTACAAGGGGCTTGGAAACAAAATTATACAGGATTAGAAAATAGTCTCCTTAACGATTAAAGGTGTGAAAGGGATGAGCATTGGAACAAGATGAAAGAATAATAGCTTAAAAAAGAAAACAGGAGGGAATGAAGGGGATGAAAAAACGGAACCGAAGGAGACAATCCACACTAGATCTATGGTAAATGTAAGGGTTGAACACACAGCATCGGTTTTCCGATGCATATGGCGGAAACACACTACCTTTGACAGATTTTGTTTACTCCGTAAATGATTCTGAATGGTGAGTCAGTTGAGATGCTGTGACAGGTGTTGACGTCCCTTAATCTCCCCCGTTACTATGTGGAATTAAGTAAATAATAATTGTATCTATGTAACCTTATGTATATAAATGTGATTATACAGCTTTTGAGAATGAAATCGGCGAAAAGATAATTGTCTCTGCTGAACTTCTTGTTCTTTTCCCTCAAATTCAATTTTAACTTTTTCAGATAGATTATAAAAAATGTTACAAAGTATTAAAAGAAAGGCTTATTAGTGATAATACTTTTTATCTGATAGCACACAGAAATCGGAGAGGCAAAGTTACTTATTCGAAAGGATAAATAACATTTCTAAAAACACTTATGTGGTGAAGGGTAAACAAAAGCATCCACCTACTTGACTGTAAAATTAGTTACTCGTTTTTAATCTTAGGTAATGAGTTGTATATTTATGAGGAGTGTTGAAAATTCGTTAAAATCTAGTGAAGCGATAATTCGTTGACAAAATATTGACACTATTTAGACAGGTGAATTCTTAGATAGCTGGGTTGTAAGTTAAAAGCAATTTTTCCGTCTATTTATAAAAATACTCTAAGCGCCTTAAAATATTAACGAGACATTCAACAGTATTATGAGCTGATAAAATTATTTTACTTATTATGCCCAAATATCAAGATCAGTTTCATGGTTTGGGCATTTAAGTTGTTTATATGAATCAGTTTGTTAGAAGTATTACTGAAATAACTGATACATTTAAGTTATGTTGAGCTTATTTCGATAAGGAATTATTAGTTTCTTTGGGTCGAACTTTAAAACTAACCGGAGGACGAATTGATCATTTTATTAAGGAAAAATTTCACTTGTTTGATTTCTGATATCAGTGTTTGGAGTGGCTATAAAGTATATTGGAAACATTCTGAGTAAGTTTAGATTTCTTTGTGGTACAATTTTAATTTATTCCCTAACTTTCACAGTGGAACATAGGGCTTCAAGCTAGAGAGCTTCGAAGTTTCGGGGTGGGGTTGCCAGGCTCATGCCCAGCCTCCCCTCTTTACCAGTCTTATTCCCGGCTTAGCGAGGTGTAGGAGCGCGTCGGCCGGGAATCAATCCCCGAACCACATGCGTGATTGGCGAGTATCCTACCGCTAAGCCACCGACGCACTTGTGGTAAAATAAGCATTATTAATTATTTTTCACTTTTCTAAAGTGATATTTTCTACGCCGTCTATGTAGTTAAATTGTATCTGATATTTGTTGTAAAGTTTGCTGACTGAAGTGTGACTTGTTTAAATATATTCTGCTCACTGGATAATTTTCAGCTGTTTATAAAACTCATGAATTGAGCGAAAATGAGGTTGCAGTTTATTCAAGTGGTTTTCAAAATTTATAAATTAGTATACATCGGTGGTTTTCACTAATGCTATTTTCAAGTGGTTACTCGGCTTTAAATAGTGGGGGCACTAAGCCCGTTAAAAGAATCAAAATAAGAACATTTCTAAACTTGTTGTTGGAATTTTTATCATCTAGTTGGTGCGTCGGTGGTGCAGTGGTAGAATGCTGGCCGACGATTTGCGTGGTCCGGGGTTCGATTCCCAGCCGGCGCACACGTTTCCCCCCTTAGCCGGTCGTAAACCTGGGAAAGATGGAAGGTTGGGTGTGAGGTTAGCAACCCCACCCAATAAAAATAAAATCCCTGCCAACGAAACTTCAAGGCTCTAGCTTGAAGCCCTATGTTCCACTCGGAACGCAAACGAATAAAATAAATAATAAGTTGGTTCGGAATTGCAAGTAATTTACGTGAATATTTGTGATCTTTTCCTAATGGTGATTTTTCGGCATACTTTACCAGTTAATAATAAGTGAGATTAATAAACCACAGTAAACGCCTTATAACTTATCGGCCTACACAGTATGCTTACAAAGCGATTATTAGAAAAGATTTTCCATGTATCCTCCAAACACTGAGACGAAATAACTTTTAAGGTAAAGCATTCATGTTATCAATTAAACAAGACTGAGTTTTAGGTAACGCCTGTTTATTACGCTTTTTCAAGAATTAGTTTGCAGGGATTTGGCGTGTTTCAAGTTTGATCACGAATTAATGTCAGTTAGAGAACTTTACTGACAGCGAGTATCCCATGTCGAACTGTGACATTCTTACTACGCCACCAGTGATACGAAAGATAAGATTCGGCATAAGACTGAATTAGAATCAGTTACCAGATAAACATTACTCTGGTTATGTTTTTTTGATCGTAACACTTCCAGTGAAACTACCAGCTGTCTCACTCAGATGTAATGCATTTTTCTTAGAGTTTAGAAATGAATACATGGCGCTAATACTACTGAGTGATCGACAGAAGTAGTTGAACACCACCCATATCAAACAGTAGTCCTTGCTAACCAGATCGAAGTGTCCTAAACACTGAAGCCCTGTTTCACTCGTTTAGGGCTGGGTTCATTGGTGGTGCATCAGGACTGACTCAGATCAGAAAGCCAAATTAGTTAAAATCACCCTGACAGCAGAAATGGTCATCCGGTGTTTAGGTCACTTCAGTCTAGCTAGCCAGGACTACCGGTTGACTATTCATGTCAATCAACTAGCAGTACATAGCATCCCGCAGTTGTGCTTGCTTTCGTGATTACCATTTATGATATCAAGCAGACAGCGTATTATGACCTGAATAATTTTAGTTTCCAGAGGAAACTGTGAGGAAATTTCACCTCGAGCTGCGAAAACTGCAAGTCGCGAACTAATTTGCAGTTTGTAAATTTGACAGAATAAAAACCATATTAATATAATTATTCATGTTCAAATAAAAGAAAACCCACCAACTGATGGAACTTATTGTTCATCTCATGTGTATTACAGCCATATCGTTTGTAGTCGATTGTAGTTGTCAGTGGCATTGTTGTTTGTGTCTGAGTTACTAGAGTTGGCGGCAATGATGTTGTGTAGTGATAGATACTTCTAGAAGATCCTGACTCATCAGGCAGGAGGAGAGGTTTATGCAGTGAATTTTGTATGCTAATAAAATTCCCGTTGAAATCATTATTATTATTATTGCTAGTGTTATTTTTGTTGTTGGTTGCTGACTTTGAAAATTCATCTGGGCTATGACAAATACTTGATGTGTTTTCACTCATACTACTTGGTAGTAGTTTATTGGAACCATACGGTGGCATATTCTGGTTATTGATCAATGAATTTTGACAGACCGTTTGATTTCCCCACTGATTGACTGGTTCACTTTTTACTAGATTGATTAAAAAAAAGAAAACCGTAATAATGATTAGGCGATTAAGAAACAGTTTCAGTTTATAAGAAGAATGAATACTTGCAGAGACTTTGATTTTTACTCAGTCATATACGTGAAATTTCTTTAGCTAATAGTTAGGCACACTTATAATTCATTTGATCGGGCTGATTGCAGTTGTTGCATTTACAATCCAAACAACTGGTAAATACTTAGACAGTTAATTATATATGTGAACAAGTGGACAAGCAGTCGATAAACATTGGAATCCATATTGAAATCCTAAAAGAATTGATATTAAGATGTACCATGAATGTAAACTTCAAATTTGACGGCACGCTTTACAGGCAAGTGGACGGGGTGGCAATGGGCTCCCCATTGGGTCCAATTCTGGCAGATTTCTTTCTAAGTAAGCTAGAAAATGGACCTCTGAACAACCTTATCAGTAAGCTCTCATTTTATTGCCGATATATGGATGATACCTTTATTCTATGTGATAATGGTTCCGATAAGAGTATAATAATTACTGAATTCAATGAAGTACATCCGGCTATGAAATTCACATGCGAAGAGGAATCCCAAGACAGAATTGCCTTCCTCGATGTCCTACTTACAAGAAAACCAGACGGAAGCATAAAAAGAAATTTACATAGAAAAAGTACTTGGACGGGAAAATATACACACTTTCATAGCTTCGTTCCCATCAAATACAAAAGGAATTTAGTGAACACCCTTAGCCACAGAGTTAGAGCTATATACTCTGAAGAAGTAATTAAAGATGAATTAAGCATGGTATATGATACTTTAATCGAAAATGATTATCCCGACAAATTTATCAAGAAACATATGACAAAGAAGGCCGAAAAAGACGTCCCACTATCTGTAAACAAGAAGCCCCTTTATATACGACTGCAGTTCATGGGCGATATACCAAGTGAGTTAATTACAAAGAAATTAAGAAAAGCAGTTCAAAGGACTTTTAATGCTGGCGAACTACACATTTTATTCTCTACAAGACCAATGGTGCTACTTCGACTGAAAGATGAAGTACCTAGACTAGCCACTTCAAATTGTATTTATCAATTCAACTGCGCTTGTGGAGCGAGTTATGTTGGCCGTTGCTCTAGGAACTTAATTTTTCGTGCTCGAGAACATCTCCCACTATGGCTAAGTAAAGGTGTAGTTAAAACTATTAACAGCTCGATATTAGACCATCTGGTGCAAACTGGTCACAAAGCCAGCGTAGAAGAATCCTTCTCCATAATATACCGGGTGCCTAACAAACTACCAAAATCGTCGAAGCACCGCTTGCTCCAAACAGCAGAGGCTATTGCAATTCGCCTCAAACAACCAGCGCTCTGTGTCCAAAGGAAGCAAGTCCAGCCCCTACTACTGTCCTGGCCCTCAGTAGAGACTATAAACTCATGAATTTGTACTATTATCTTTCCTGATTCCCCTGAAATTCAGTTTATTCTTATGTTGATGCAGTTCAGCTGTAATTTATCAATATTATTGATTTGATGTTATTTAAACATTAATGTCGTTCATAAGACTAATTCATTCATTATAATGTATATATAATTGTAGAACCTGATGATGAATTTATCGAAAAGAGTACTCTTTGTTCCGTGTCTATTCTTTTGAAAACACAAAATGCTCAGATGTGAGCAATCTAAAAGTGTAAATGTTGAATATGGATAACGGAGTAAATCAAGAGATGAAACTAACACACTAAAAGAAGGTTTGTATGAAAATTTGGGGTTTTACACAAGTAGTGAGGTAATTTTGATGCTTTAGTTGGTTTGGATTCAGTGTAACTTTAGACGAAGTATATTTTCTCAGAAAAAGTATTGCAAGCTGTGCGCTATAATCTAGTGAAGAGTTAAGCAATCTAAAAGTCTAACATGTTTCATGGAGTTACATTTATATGACTACCATATTTAACTAGTTACAAGATTGCAGTAAATGATCACTTGACACCATTTTGTTCCCTTTGACTAGCAGTACTTACGGTTGTAGTCAAGAATAAATAACGGCTGACTCACAGTTGTACTTTTTTAATTATTTTTTAAAATTTCATTCCTTTACATTCTGAGTAGAACATTGGGATTCAAGCTAGAGCTTTGAAGTTTCGATAGCAGTGGTTTTATTTTTACGCGGTGGGGTTTCTAGCCTCACGTTCAACCTTCCCTCTTTACCGGCCTTACTACCAGCTTAGCAAGGTGTGGAAGTGTGTCGGCCAGGGATCGGACCCTAGACCATGTGAGGCATGGTTAGTTGAATGACTTCCCTTGAAATTAAATATTAATTGACATTTGTAGAAGAGATTACTATTTTGGAAGTCATTTACTGCTCATAAGAACATAGTATACATTACACATCGCACTATTTAATGTCGTCCTCTTGCATTCATGACTAATAATCTTAGGTGGACAATGAATGTTCATGAGAAATCTCCACTAAGTTATGTGAGAAATGGGGAACAAGTGATTAAGCGAAGAGATCCTCTCAGCAAATTTATCATCAGACTTTCCACTTACATTTATAAATATATGACTTCCTAAAAATAATGTGAACTGCTATAAAAAAATGGTGATTATATCCTTAATTAACCACTAAGTTCTACACTTACATTACTAAACATCAAAAGATAAGTCATATTCAAATATTGGTTTGTAGGGATTTGGTTGATTGGTTACAGGATTTCATCATGAGCTGGCATTGGTTAGAGAACCATTGGAAAACCTGGGAGTACCGGACAGTAGAAGTTAGAATTCATGGGCCATTGGATAGGGTCCCAGTGGCTTAGTGGTATACGAGCTCGCCTTGTAACCAGTAGGTCCTGGGTTCGAACCCCGGCGGACGCATACTGTTGAAGAGTCCCAAACTAGGACGAAACAGCTGTCCAGTACTCCCTGCAGGTTTTCCAATGGTTCTCTAACCAATGTCAGCTCATAAGTCATATTGTCTGTAAACTAGTTCATAGTATGTACACTTCTTAGAAAGGAGAGTAGAATTAATAAGATTATTAAGCAGATAGAACATTACGTAACAAAGTTAGGATTTCAAAAAGATGAAATTGAAAAAAAATTCATACTAAACTATGCAAATAAATGCTGATAAGTACGGTAATGCCGAAGCTTGTTCAAAGTAAAAATAATTATAACACCAATCGAAATAAAAAGGGACAGATATACAGATTGCACAAAGAATACGAAAAATAGGGCCAGAGTAGAAATGGGGACTATAATAACTTAACACAGACAGGTCAGGACTATGAAAGGAGTGGTTAAACAAACTTTTCTGTATACAGAGCTCTGACTTGCCTGTTTTGTTGGTCGAAGCTTCAGTAGTACAGATCAGCTGGATTCGTGGGGAAGAGGTCGAGCTACACTTCCGCCTCTTCGTAATGCCACAGAATAATGTTCCTGATGTTTAACTATGATGATAACCATAAATACGATTGTGCAGCCAGATAATGAATAAACCTATTAATAACTGTGGCTTTAATGTTTAAAATGTTAATTAGTGAACAATTGCACATTACTACAGCCTACAAATAGTTGTAATCAATAGATTTTTCATTATTTCCTTCCCTAGATGAAATACGAAGTAAAAATGAAATGGAAAGACTAAAAGAACAGATGACGAAAACTGTGTATCAAGCGCAGAATGCCACTGTGATGAACTTTAGGAATCAATAAACAGCAATGCCTACAGTATGCAGACTGTAAAAACACCATCTACAGCCACTTTAACAGTAATCGTTCCGAAATGAGGCAGACGGTTATATTGCCTACCTACCTATATAGTATTAATAAAATATAATGGTATTTAGAAGAAAATATATGGTACACTTCATTTAAAGTTGGTTTCAGAAAAACAGAATACTGTCGCTACATAATTTCGTTTATAAGCATCGTATCAGTGTAATGATTAATGAACTGTACGATAAGCTTGTTATATCAGCAGGCCATTAACCGTAAATATTCAAATAACAAAGAACCTTTTCGTCCTATTTGGGAGGAAAAGTAACCATCCACCAATTGACTTCAAGTTACATGACTAGACATCGTCTAAGCATCTGCACAAGGAGCCGAGATGTCAACCTGAGACCGAGCACTTCAATCCAATCAATCGACAAGAAAATCTAAATTGAATTAAAAGAACCTATTCGTTTTGAATCACCAGTTGTTAATCAGCCTATTTTTTTTAAGTGTTGCAGTAAGACTGTCAGTTAATTATTTGGCTGACACCAAATCTTTCCACTATACATAGCACACTAACTGGGCAAGAAATGATATCTTATAAACCTATTTATTAACTGTGCAGTGTGGCTAATTAATTGAGGGGTGTACTATAGTACAGCACTGCATTTTGATGTTAGGTGTTGGCAAGCAGCTGTCAGTCATTTAAACGTAGTTCTTACATAATTGTATAACTGGGCAAATTTAATGAAGCTTATAGGTAGAAATATAATTAAAATATGAAATGGCTTGGTAATGCAGTTTAGCTTATTTTAGTCAGTCTGAAAAAGTATAATTATTATTTCGACTTATAATGCAATGCAAATGGTAAGCATATTTTATGGAATGTATTAAACATTGCTTGATAGTTCTAACGGACACTATTTGCAGAAGTAATAACACAATAATTGGTTGGAGGACTTCATCGTGAGCTGACATCATTTAGAGAACCATTGGAAAACCTGGGAGCACTGAACAGCTTTTTCGTCCTAGTTTGGGACTCTTCACAGAACGCACCCACCAGGGTTCGGACCCGAAGAGTCCAAAACTAGGACAGAGGAAACAGCTGTCCAGTACTCCCTGCAGGTTTTCCAATGGTTCTCTAAATGATGTCAGCTCTTGATGAAATCCCCCAACCAATCAAACAAATTCCCTAAAAACCAATACTTGAAAACATAATAGTTGATAAAAATCATTGCTCTTGGTAGAAAAGAAGTGTTCGAAGGTTGGTCAGTCATCTATGGACCATAGTCA